CCCTTTTTTTGTTCCCTATTATCTCTTTTTTTTTTTTTTTTTTTCTTCTCTACGAGAAAGTGTTATCAGTTTGGCGGCATTTTATTGTAGAGTGGGAATCTTGACAGAGCATCAACAGCCGGCCGAGGAATCTAGGAAATAAGTCTGGAGTGAGTTCCGGATCTCTGGAGAAGGCCAAGTGTTTCTAGGCAGGTCACATCTGGGCAAAACACAGTGGTTTAATGGTTCACTCTGACTGCAAGTAGATGTTTCGGCATCTGCGAGGTACGCCATGGGTGAGTTTACTCTTTGGTTGAAATACTTATAGATTTTAGATTTCTTTGTATGCCGATATAGGAATGAAAGTCTGTTTCCATAATAAAGTAAACAGAATTGCCGAAGGAAAAAAAATAATGATAAAAAAAATTTTTTTACTTCATAAAAAATTCTGTATTTAAAATTTCAGATTCGGGCTTATTATCTTCAGTACTCGATTTTTTATTATCTATACTTTGGTTTTCTGATCGATCATTAAATTGACTTGGTGTAAGCTCCATAATAAAAGAATATTGAGAATTTTGTGGTACATAATGTTATATTTAGAAATTTTTAAACCATAATATAATGACAAACCTTTCGCAAAATGATGCATCCATCTTCTCGAGAGGATTTACTGATCAGTTAAATACTTCAGCTAATGCTAAGATGTGGTTAGTTTATTTCTTCCACATAGTTTTGAATTCTTTACACCAAAGTGGTAATGTTTGTTCATGCAGGAGTAATTTAAAACCAATGCAACTGTAATGGATATGACAAACAAGTTTAATACGTGGCTGGTTGAATTTGTACAAGTAATACTTTTCAACATCCATAAGTTTTTTATAAGTATTCAAGCTCTTAGAATTTTATAGCATTTTCTTTTTGCTTGCGAATATCATTTAAAATTTGATTCTCACATTGCTCTCATTTACACGGCTTGTACGCTCAAAACATGATTTATTGTCTGAAACTCATACTTCTACGTCCTTTGATAACTGAAATTACATTTTTGATACATTTTTAATAAAAATATCAAAAACGTAATTGTAGCATTTTCTGGATGTAACGCCACGTACCTGAATTTGCATATTCATGTAACAACAACAATATTTACGCGTTTAGCAGCCAATTATATGATTCGTTGGCACATATTCGGTTTCAAGACTAATCTGGGCTCAAGTTATTCATGGTAATATCAATTTATTCGCTTTTATTATTGAAGTCATTATTATTTCTTTCTTTCACTTAGGGCCTCCAAAGTGGTTATAGTGTTGTGCTTGAAGTTACCAATTTAGGCACACTAACCAAAATTGATCTCACGCAATAGTTAGTAATTTAAGGCAGTTTCAACTTCCGGCGCTTGAAGTTACAAATTCAAGCAGATCTACCTTCAAGCATGACAATAATACGATGTTTTGAAAGACATTTTCCCAAAGGCCATAATACCGACTAAATTAGCTGGCATTATAGCTGATGCCAACTAACTTTATCAACATTATACTTTTTCGGGAAAATGGTTTTCAGAAACTTAAGTTGTTAATACTTCTTAGACTTTTTTTTTAATATAATTGTTAGAATAGGAACTTTATTGAAGCACTCTGAACCATAGTCAAAAGCAAATTTATGATCAAATTTAGCTTATAGACTTTAAGAATACTTATTAATCAACTGTATTTAAGGTAAACTGTTAAATTCTTAAATATTTACTATTACACATTAATCTGCTCGCAATCAGCTTGTTACTTCTTACATCCCTAATTTTATTCTTCTCATGTAGATAGACCGTGTAATGTTGAATATTGATATCAACATGGAAATGGTGTTGAAAAAAATGAGCAATAAAGCATTCATTTATTATCTAAAACTGATAATATGGGAGACGTTATAGGAGCATCTAATATTGTTATTGCTACGATGAAAAAATTGGAGCTGAAAAGCATGAATATAGAGCATCCAAAATCTGCAGAAATACTGATCGCTTTTATAAGATACTGGTCATGCGATGATAAATATCATAAAATTTGTTCTGACAGAACAAATTTTATGATATTTATCATCGCATGACCCAATATCGATATTATCGTGCAATTATGACCATGTTTTACAAGTCATTTTTTTTTGACTGAATTTTAATTCGAGACTGTTGTGCTTATGCAAAAATAACAAGAAAAACATCTATGATTATAAGAGTTTGTATAACAATAATTTAAGATAAGCTACTTAAAGTCAGTATATTTATCGCTTAATAGTAATTTTATTGACTATTTATTAATTTCTTACTTAAAAAAGATTAATCAGGTTCTTGGATTGTTACCAACATGGAATTGGAGTTGAAAAAGACGAACAATAAAGCATCAAAATCCGATGAAATGGGAGACATTATGGAGCTTCTAATAACGATATTATTATGATAAAGGAATTGGAGTTGAAAAGGATGAATATAAGGTATTCTTTATTATCAAAATGCCAGATATGTTTTAAAGGTAGACAACTTAAATTCAGAATATTTATCGCTTAGATAGTAATTTTGATGTGTATTTATTGATTTTTTTTTTTTTATTTAAGGTAAGTTATTCGGGTTCTTGAATTGTTATCAATATGGGATTAGAGTTGAAAAGGATGTGCAATAAGGCATTCATCTATTATCAAAAATCTGATGACATGGGAGACGTAATGGAGGTATCGAATATCTATTATTATGATGAATGAATTGGATATGAAAAGAATGAACACAGGCATTCATTTATTATCAAAAAATACGCAGAGATACTGAATATATTTTATAAGTAGGTAGGCTACTTAAATTCATATATATTTGTTGTTTTACATAGTAATTTTAAAAAATATTTATTGATCTCTTATCTAAAGTAGTTTATTCGAGTTTTTGAGTATTTCAGTTGTGTAATACTTCCTACTTAGTAGGAACTATTACACAACAGAAATACTTAAAAACCCGAATAATCTACTTTACATTACTGTAATTACAATTGTTTAGTTAGTAAAAATCAAGGTGGGTTTATCGGTTAGGACAATATCTCAAAACTCTATGCATTCTTGAACCAACACTTGGTTTATTCGGAAGAGGCGGTTAAATTTGGCTAAGTGGGTTGGTTCCTCTGGTAAGTATCCTTCCGGGTTTGGTTAGGTTGTATTTCTTACTTCGTTAATACTTTACAATACTAACTTAACTTTCTTTTGAAACCACGACTAATTCGGTATATTGAATGGCCGGAAAACTTGGATGAGGTAATCTACGCCTTATTCCAATAACTACGGCCTTACCACAATACGTCGGGTTTGAACCATAATACAAGAGTCGAAGTCTACTATTTCTTATTTATTCTATTTAACCTATAACTTTTAATTTTGTAAATCTTTTAATTGAATTAGTTAGATTACTTCGACTAGAAAAATATCGTCGCACCCGATCGTTATCGATGCAAACCAAACCTGTATGGGACAGTATTTACTTTTTACCTAATTTGGGTTTGAAGGTCGACCATTGTCGTGATGCTAAACCCAATTCAAAACTAAAATTGATGCCCTTTTATGATTGCACGTCCCAAACCCCTGTGAACCCATGAACCAATCGACGACCTACAAAATTTGATTATCATATTAAAGCAACTTAGCATTAGTTCTGTATTTACGTCCATTCTCAAGCTAGAAGAAAAAGCTACTTTACTAGTGGCTCAAAGATGAGACCAGTTTTGTCTCAAAGCGGGGACGCTTTTATTCTTTTATATTTAACAAGCAAGGATAAATGTTACTTTATATTATTGTACTTAGACAGGCTAGTAAAAAGTAATTATGAATTATTTCGCTGACTTGGAACTTATTTTTTTATATTTTAAGTTTCGCTCATGAATTCATATGAAAGTTTGTATGATTATTATCTTTAAGTTATAGGCTAAACTATTTTTTTAAAAAAATAAGTTTTTAATCATTACGAATGTATATATAGTCACAAATTTTAATAAAAAAATGTCTTTATCTTTGCATTCTCGTAATAAATCATTAATCATGGATGAAGATTTACTTGAAAACATGTCTAAAATGTCGCAATCTAGTGAAAAATCTATTAAAAAGCAAAAAACAACAAATCTTCAAAATGTTTTAGTAAATAAGGGTGGACGTCCAAAATTTGCTGTTTGGGAAGATTTTATTGTTGGAGATTATGATGGTAAAGGTCACTACGGTGCCAAATGTCAATATTGTACTACTACATCTTAGAAACGTGGAAGGCCTGCTGCAATGGAAGCACATTTGGCTTTACACTACAAGGGTGAGGTTCCTGAGAATATTAGACGTCATTGGTTAATTGAAGTGGCAAGACGAAGTGAGAAAGTAAAGAATGATGATAGTGATATTGAAAGTCTATCATCATCATCAAAAAAATCTAAACCTATTTCAAATGAGAAGGTTAATGAAATAAACAAAGCATTATTAAAAGCTTTTGTTTGTGCTGGAATTCCGTTTTCTATAATCGATAACCCGTTTGTTCGAGATCTTTTGCATCTACTTGAACCAGAATATATTCCACCTGGACGAGGTACTTTATCGGAGCGAATACTTGATGAGGAAACTGCTCGTATAACTGTACGAATTGAAAATTTACTTGACAATGCAAAAAATTTAACACTAGGTAAAATATCTAAATAGAGAGATTGTCTAAAGCCTTGTAGTATTTTATGTATATACTTGAGCTACGCTAATATCAATCTATTTAGATCACTCTAATATTCATATTGATAGTGACATTAATGAGAGCCCATAATAAAGTTGATATATATGAGGGAATTTTGGTATATAAAAATTTATAAAAATTTGTTTTGCAGCCTAGGTTGATATTAACGTAGGTTGATATTAGCGAGGATCAAGTGTATTACGTGTTCTTTAATTTACAAATCGATTAATAATCAATTTTAAAAATCACCTGGCTTTAGACTATCTCTAAATAAAGAAAATTTTAGACTTTGATCATATAAATTTTATATGATCAAAGTCTGGTTTTTCATTGCCGCTATCTAATATATTTCATTGTATGGTTTATATAATTCTAAATTATATATTTATTATATTTTAACAAATAGCACTCGATGGGTGGTCAAGCCCAACTAATGATTCGTTATACAATTTTATTATTTCTACCGCTGATAGAAGAGAGTATTTGTATTCTATTTTGGATTTTTCTGATGCAGTACAAACTGGCGAATTTCTTGCTTCAAAAATTTCCGATATTGTCGATCAAGTTGGCTTTAATAAATTTGTTGCTTGTGTGACTGACAATGGAAGTAATATTCGTGTTGCTCATGAAATTACCATGCACAATTATTCTCATATTTGGAATATAAGATGTGTCGCCCATGCGCTGAATCTAATTGCAAGTGATATAGTTAAAGTTCAGTCTATTAACCAAGTTTTAAAAAAAGCGAATCAAGTTATTCAATTTTTTTCTAAGTCACACAGAGCGTATAGAATTCTATACGACAATATAGAAAGTATGAAAATAAGTGGTGGTGGTTTGGAAACGTATGTTGAAACAAGATGGGCTTCTGTTTTTGGAACGACATCTTCGATTATAAGGTTAAAGCCCGTTTTTGATAAGGTAATTAACATATTTATTTTATTTTAAAAAAATTTTTATACTTATTATTATTGTATTTAATTTATTTTTTAGATTCTAGAAAATAACCGAGATGCAATTAGCAAACCAGTTTTTTCAATATTAAATGATGATGAGGATACATTTTATACAAATTGTCGTCGAATTGCATCTATAATTCAACCAATTAAAGAAGCTATACATAATTTAGAAGCACGTACTGCAAATCTTGCTGATTGTTTTATTAGCGTTGTAAAGATAGCTGCAGCAATTAATAGAATTCCTAAGAACAATACTTTTCGTGGGCCAGCTATTAGTATTTTTAATAAGCGCTATGCTGAATTTGATATTGAGCCGTATCTACTTGCCTATTTTCTTCATCCGGGGTATAAAGGTATCACTTAAAACCTGTTTTGCTTTTTATATATAGTAAATTTAAAATTACCGTTACAATATTCTGTTTTTAAGAATTGAACGTATTTATTTCGTATTATATAATTTTTTTCAGGTTTTCTATTAATTTATATATCGAATAGTAGTATATTTTGGGTACTATATATTTAAATTACTATTCAATATAGAATTTGAAGCCATGTGTTTATATATGTAATCAAGTAATCAAATATATGTAATAATAATATCTTGGGTCGTTGGGTATTAGTGGATTGGTCCCAGGCAGTGATAACGGAAATACATGACTGATA